ATCAGGTGTTTGTTTCATGGTGCCGGGGAGACTTTTTGCTAGTTTCTGCTAAAATACTTTCTGGTGACAAATGACATCGTCTTTGAGCATCCAGAGTAAAAGAACTACTCCCATCGCGATGCAGGGAAAAGAACTACTCCCTTGGAAGTGGGTTCTTGGCACTAACATTAATGCGCCAAACCTGAAAGTGATTCCAGAAATTAGGATCCTAAAGAAAAAAGAACTATCTAGCTTCATGTGCAGTTATCTACAGGCTAAAGAAAATTAAAGAAACCTCAAGTTTTCCACCACCTTCAAGCAAAGGAGGAATTTCCTCATTTACTGGACAGCCTTTTGAGATTCCCTTAAAATCAACGCCTTGTTGTTTTAACAAAGCTACCAAGACAGCAAGCAAATAAGACAAATTAAAATAATTAACAAATACACAAAAAGTTGGTTCCTCTACAGAATCTTCTACTAGTACCTGCAACTTTTCCTTGTCCCTCCTGTCCAGTAGAATTTCCCATTCCTGTCACAGTACCAGCTGACCACGATTCAAATTTTGACTTGAATGAATGTGTTTCATAACCCTGAATAACTTGACCGACGCGTGTTGTTTTTGGTCTGTTTTGACTGATGATGAAATCCTAAATTTTTTGTCATTAAGAACGCCATTAACGATGAAGTGAGAAAAAAAATAGAGTAAAGAAAAGAAATACCCTACCTCAGCAGCTTTGCTGGCAGCTTTTCTCTCTTCAACTTGCGCCACTCGGCCAACCCAAATGAAAACCTCAGCCCCACAGTCCAGTAAATAGCACTTATTGTTCTCCAACATTGCTTTTGAAAGGTTGTTTTCTTCCAACTTCAACTGACCATCATTAATTCTACAAAAGTTCTTGTATGTTACAATCAGTCAACTCCTTAATTGTTGTATAACTTTTAGCATGGATGAGAATCAACATGCATGGTGGTATGGCATCAATAAAAATCTAAAGACCAACTAGGCTAATGCATTTTTTCCTACTATTAATTATCATATAGAAGAAATAAGCCATCAACAACTACATTCAACATATAATGTATCGATATGTCGATCGTGTTAGGATCGTAAAGGCACTAAGAGGAGGGGGAGGGGGGTGGGGGTGAATTAGTGCTTTTAAAAAAAATTCGATTTGAAAGTTCGATCAATAAATTTGTATCGAAATTGTGATTAACAAAAGGTGCGAGTAAGGATTGCTTATTAAGTAAATCAATATGCAGTAGTAAATCAAGACAAAAAAGGAAATGCAAACTAGATTTATAGTGGTTCGTTCGTCCTGACCTACGTCCACTCTCGATTTATCTTCCTTCGAGGCTACTGGTTTTCACCATCGATCTTCTTTCAATAGGCGAAAATTAACTACCCTTGTTACAACTCTTTCTCATTTTTACAGGTTTAGGAGAGAACTCTTACACCCCTATTTTACAAAAGACCTCTCACCTTCCTTAGAATAACTTTTAGACTCAAGAAGGAAGAGGCTCAATACTTTTTAAGAGTTTACAACACTTCAAAATCACAAGCTTTTCATACGTTGTCAAGCAAGCATGAGAGAAGTATTTATATGCCCCAAATGACTTCAGAAATGAAATAAAAAATTCAAATCCTAGGGTTTTCATGGTACTGGCGAGTACCATCGCCTGCATTGGGCGACACCATCGCCTGCATTGGGCGACACCACCGCCTAACACAGTCTGGGAGATTGTGTTCTGGTGATACCACCACCAGTCTAGGAGGTACTACAGCTTGACACTGGGCGGTACCACCATCGTTTTTCGAAAAAGTATAATTCGTACTTTCCAGCTCATAGGCAATACCAACGACTAGCCTAGTGGTGCCAACGCATGGCCCAACCTCAAGTCACTGAATTGGCCTTCCAATAGGCCCAATTCAACCTTGATTTAGGCCCAATGAGCTCCTAATTAAGTTAGCATGGTTACACCCAAAACCAACTTAATTAGACTCTAAACTATTTCGATTAAGACAACGATTACAATCATGAAGCCTACGTTGTTCGACATGTCATTAGTTCATCCGGTACTTCGTCCAAACTTTCTACGCGTCGTCCTTTCCTTCGGTGTATTGTCTGATCCTTCGGCATGTTGACCTCCCACAACATCTGATCTTCTTGGCGCAATATCCGATCCTTCTGGCCCAATGCCCGATCTCTGACATGATGCACTTCGGCCCAACATCTGATTCTCCTACTTTAGTGATTTGTCTTTCCATGATCAAAGTTTGTCCTGCATCACTTTTCTCAAACGCTCATTAGTTCATAAACTCATCAATTGATTTCATCATCAAAATTCGAGATTTAACAATCTCGCCCGTTTTGATGATGACAACCAATTGATGACGGAGTTTTTACTAAACTCCCCCTGTCCATATATCATATTGAAATAAACTCTAATTTAGAAAATGATAACCCTTTAATGCTAGTCTTGGAATTCAAGTCGAAACAATTTTAATCATAGCGACTTTCTTTGTAAAAGTCATATGCAATACATCATAGTACATATCATATGCATAGTTAAAAAATTATTTCATGTATCATAATATCAAATCATGAG